GTGGGTCTGGTGATTGGGAGATCCTCCACGGCCCTTCGGGGTCTCATAGTAGTCCCGGGGGTCATAGACTCAGACTACACAGGACACATTAAAATTATGGTTCAATCTCTTGTGGGTACTATGGTAATCAATAAAGGAGACAAGATAGCGCAGCTCTTGCTGCTCCCCAGTCTCCACAGGAGATTTCCCTCAAAGCAGAAAATTAGAGAAAGTCAAGGTTTCGGTTCCTCAGGGGAAGTCTTCGAGGGACTCCATATAATACTTGATAAAAGGCCCATGCTCTCACTTAAGGTCAACGGCAAGAGTATAACAGGGCTCCTAGACACAGGAGCTGACCGTTCCATTATCTCTAGAAAGGATTGGCCCTCCAACTGGCCCACCAACACTGCAGATAACACGCTGCAGGGCCTGGGGATGGTGTCAGCTCCTCAGGTTAGTGCTTCAACCCTGCTCTGGTGCGATGAGGAGGGTCATCAGGGCCATTTCCAACCATTTGTGTCGCAGTTGCCAGTGTCTCTATGGGGAAGGGACATCCTCACTCAGATGGATGTCACGCTTACGTCAAACTGCTCCCCCCAGGCTAAGGATATACTCAGGAACCAGGGATATACCCCCGGCAAAGGCTTGGGCAATGCCCTACAGGGTCGGACATCCCCAATACCAGTAGAGAACAAAAAAGGTAGGCAAGGGCTGGGTTTTTCTTAGGGGCCGCTGAAGAAGCTCTCCTACCCACTTCGATCAAAATCACCTGGAGGTCAAATGATCCGGTTTGGGTACCTCAGTGGCCCCTGCCTAAGGAGAAGCTATTAGCCTTGTCAGAAATAGTCAGTACACAACTTAGATTAGGACACATTAAGCCGTCAACCTCCCCATGGAACACCCCCATTTTTATAATTAAGAAAAAGTCTGGCAAGTGGAGGCTGCTCCATGATCTAAGGGCGGTCAACGCGCAGATGCAGTCCCTGGGGGCGGTCCAGAGGGGGCTGCCAGCTCTCTCAGCCATCCCTCAGTCCTGGCCAGTTTATGTTATAGATCTTAGAGACTGTTTCTTCTCAATCCCCCTGCATCCAGAGGACACTCATAGGTTCGCCTTTACTTTACCCACCATTAACCAAGAAAGCCCTGATCTCAGATACGAGTGGATAACGCTGCCCCAAGGTATGGCCAACAGTCCCACTATGTGTCAGATTTACCTTGATTCCCTACTGGCCCCCCTACGGAAATCCTTTCCCAAGATAAGATGTGTGCATTACATGGACGACCTTTTGCTCAGCGGCAGGGACCCAGACATGCTAAATAATATGCTCGGCCAGTTGGTCGAGGCCCTGAGACAAGCTAATCTGCATGTTGCCCCCGACAAGATTCAGGGAGGAGAAATGGTGACCTACTTAGGCGCAAAAATCTCCCCTATGCTAGTCTCTCCACAGAAGGTCACCATTAGGACGGATGGCGTTAGGACCCTAAATGACATGCAAAAACTATTGGGAGACATTAATTGGATTAGGCCATATTTACATATACCAAATTCAGATCTCAAACCCCTGTTCGACCTTCTGAAGGGAGACCCAGATATAGCCTCCCACAGGAGGCTCACTCCTGAGGCAAGAGCTGCCTTACAGAGGGTGGAAAAAGCCTTAGGTGGGGCTACCTTACACAGAATTGAACCAGGGCGACCCTTTGATGTCTGTTTGCTACAGACTAGTCTACAGCCCACAGCGGTGATTTGGCAGAAAGGACCATTACTGTGGATACACCCTAAGGTCTCACCTGCAAAAGTCATAGAGCATTACCCGGAGGCAGTCGCTTCATTGGCCCTTGAAGCGCATGATAGAGCTGTCCAACATTTTGGCTCAGGACCACAAGCCATCCGAGTACCCTATACCGCCAGCCAGATCAAGACCCTGGCTGCCTGCATAGATACATGGGCCATTCTGAGATGTGTTTTCCATGGGGATATAAACAATCAATACCCTAAAGACCCTATCTTGTCATTTGTCACTCAGCACCCTATAATTTTTCCAAAGGTTACTGCCTCTGAGCCATTAGTCCCAGCAACTACAATATACACAGATGGCTCCAAGACGGGGATAGGCACCTATGTGATCCTAGGCAAGCCCCCAGTTACCATACAATTTGAACCTGATCAGCCTCAGGTGGTGGAACTGCAGATCGTTAAAATGATTCTTGAACGGTTCTCAGAAGCCATTAATATTGTCTCCGATTCTAGGTATGTGGTTAATGCTATGCAAGTGCTTGAGACTGCCGGTTTAATTAGATCCACTTCCACAGTGGCTGGGCTGTTCCTGTCTATCCAGACATTGCTTCAGAACAGACACCATAAGGTCTTCACCACCCACATAAGAGCACATACATCCCTGCCAGGGCCTATGGCACAGGGGAATGCGGCTGCTGATACTGCCACTCGCCCGTTATGGATTTTTACCTTACTAACACCAATCGAGCGAGCCCGTGCCTTCCATGATAAGTTTCATGTCAATGCCAGGACACTAGCAAACCATTTCCATGTTTCCAGAGCAGATGCACGAGATATCGTGCGACTATGTGACTCCTGTGCCACATACAAACCTGCCATACCGATGGGAGTAAACCCTCGAGGTTTGATCCCTGGTGATGTTTGGCAGATGGACATCACACATATACAGGAGTTTGGGACTCTTAAATATGTTCATGTTTCCACAGACACCTGTTCTCACGTCATATTTGCAACAGCAGAAACAGGTGAAAAAGTGTCTAATGTGATCAATCATTGCCTGGCGGCTTGGGCCGCATGGGGCAAACCAAAAATATTAAAAACTGATAATGGACCAGCCTATATAGGCAAAGCCTTCAATGAGTTCTGCAAAATGATGGAGGTTCAATTAAAACATGGTATCCCATACAATCCCCAAGGTCAAGGAATCATTGAGAGGGCTCATAGAAGCCTCAAAGAAATTTTACAAAAACAAAAAGGGGGAGTAGGCCAAGGCCTGGCCCCAAAGGCACGATTATCCATGGCACTATTCACACACAATTTTTTAAATTTAAATAATGATAATTGCTCCCCAGCCGTGGAGCACTGCAACCCTTCCCCCAACCATAAAGGGTGGGTGAAGTGGAAAGATGTCCTGACAGGACAATGGATGGGCCCGGATCCAGTGGTCAGCTGGAACCGAGGCGCGGTTTGTGTTTTCCCACAGGAATCGGGACGAGAACCACTGTGGGTACCGGAGAGACTGACACGGGCGACAAAGCCCTCGACTGAAGATCAGACCTGCCCTACCGGAGATCCATCACAGACCAACCAACAAGATGAATAAAAATAGCGGTAGCCCGAAATGGACAAGAAGATCCTCAGGCATATGCATGGCTCGCTCGCCTAGCCTACGACCGAGTCTAGGGGTGGTGAGCTTCCCACACTCCTCCTCTAAAAAATTATGACATAGCTGGGTAGGAGAGTCAATGACGGGTAAGAGCGTACTCCCCCGGTGCGACTCAACCTAAGCCAGGCCCTACCCCATCCTGCACGTAAGCCGCTGGACTGTTAGATGCTGCCCAGGTCTAAATTTCTCTCCGAGGGGATTTCTTTACGGAGAGGAAATGAGTGCAAGCTTGTGTGCATCCAGGTTCCGTCCAGTTTGTGCCTGGCCCTAGAAAAAGGACGAGGGCCTCAGGGCCTTGGCAGACCATGGGACGGCCGACCAGGGTCTAAGCCAAGGACCTACGGTGGGCCTACGCATAGGGCATAAGCCTCTGCACCCAGTCCAGAAAGGGCTACGATGCGCACATTCATAAAAAATAAAAAAGGGGGAGATGTTGGGAGCCGCAGCCCCGAGCCCGGTCGCCTCACTTGGCGGACGTGAGGCCTGTAGTAAAGAGTAAAGCCTGAGGTAGATTACCCCTCCCATCGAGCACGTTAGTTTCCTGCTTACCGCGTAAGCAACCCGCTCAACAATATAGTCTGCCTGGCAACTGATGATGTTAGCCAATCAGCTTGCCTTGCTCACTTTAACATGATTGGACACTGTATCCGTATATATACTGGTGCCACCCCTGGGGGGGAAGAAGAAGCCCGGAAGTAGAAGCCCAGAAGGAGCCGCGGGGAGCGGACCAAAGGAGGCTTCGGCTGGGAGCGATCCCAGGGCAGGCTGTACGGAGAAGAAAAATAAAAGAAAAGGTTGTCCACTGCCAGACTTTGTCGTGTGTCCTTCCTGCCGGCCGGGAGCGGACATCGACAGTGTGTGACCTGCCTCAGGATGCTGTCACCTTCCTCCCCGGCTGGGCATCCTTGTCTATTAAGAAATCCAGTCCTCCTCCTGACATTACCCATGGACCATTTCCCACTTCTTCCTGCAGTCTCAACCTTAGACTGGAAGCCAGGATGGGCACCATTTCTGAGAATCTATTTCTCTTAGGACAGCAGCATTGCCTATTTGTTATTTGTGCACCCTACATGTGCTGGGTGAGTAGGGAAGATGTGGGGGAGACTGAGTAGGGATGAGGCAGGGAGCTGTGTGCCAGAGAAGGGGTGGGGAGGGCAGGTGCTCATGAGTGGACTAACGGAAGTGGCCTCTTCCCTGAACTGACACAACTGCCAGCCACAGCACCTTTAGCCCACACCATTTCCTTTTGTTCTTATCTTCAGAGCTGTCATGATAATCACTGGTAGCCAGTTAGTCATTTGTCCATGTCTCTGATTAAAATGAAGAATTACACTGACCGTGTGCCAACACATTAATGATGCTGTTTTATTCATTGGCCCTTTCCTTGCCTGGCAGTTAAAGTAGAGGCCGAGTTCATCTCAGCTGTAGAAGGTGCTTGGCATGTACACACACAGGCCTCCCAGCGACAGAGGCGACACTGGGAGAAGCTCTGATGGGTGCCCAGCTCCGTGGCAAGGTAATAATGGACTTGGTTCTAAAAACAAGTTGACGAAGTATGGGTCTCAGCAAATAAAGATTTTAAAGGAATCTATTTTATTAAAAGTGTACAGTTTGGGGACTTTAGGAGAAAAAAGTGTTTCTCAAAGTTCTAGGAAGATTTAGAAACACCCAGTATTTATTTTAAAACACCAGCTAGGAATCTGCATTTGGAACAAGTCCCATGTGATTTTTAGTCCCCTTGGAGTTTGAGAATCACCAGCAGCTAAGGGATGGAGTGGGACTGCGGATGTTTCACTCCTTTTGGTTTTGCAGGATTCCAGGGAGTGACTGGCTCAACCTTTTGCAGATAAGCTCAGCTGGCTCCTCTGTGCGTTCCTGGCATTCTTTCCTCTGATTCAAGGAGGCACTGAAAGAGTTAATATATTTGCAGGTAGGGCAGCAATGGCAGGATGGATGTACCGGCCCATTCCATCTGAGCACTTTCTGAGTGCAAGTGTAGGGACTTGATCCAGATGTGGGACTGCTTAACACATTTCTTTTTTCTTTCTTTTTTTTTTTTATCTTTTTTGAGACAGGGTCTCGCTATGCAGTTCAGGCTGGCCTTGAGCTCACTTTGTAGCCCAGGCTGGTCTCACAATCTTCCTGCCTCAGCCTCCCGAGTGCTGGGATTACAGGCGTGAGCCACCACGCCTGGCCTGCTTTGACACATTTCTGTCAAATCCCAGGGGCTCTGCTTCTCTTGCAGATTTGCCACTTTTTCACAGGGCACAGGACACTTCCTCTTCTCACCCTAATTCTTTTTTCCTCCTTCCTACCTACCCATGTTTCTTTCTCTCCACCCAGACAGGTGATGAGCTCTCTTGTCCATTTCCTGCATGGGGTAGGAATGTGTGAGTCTATCTTCTTAGGCATGTCAGCGGGCTCATGGGGACCAGCATATTAGCTGTGAGGAATGAACCTGAGCAAGGCAAATGCAGGAAAGCTGGAGTAGAGGCCAAGATTCATCTCTAGCTGTAGAGTACTTGATGTGAGAGAACACACATAACTATCCTGCCTGTCAGAGAGCCCAGTGGCGATGCTTAAAGACAAAGCACAAAAAGATCTTGGGGAAAGGGGCCCTGGGTTTTGAGGGACAGCCTTCATGTTAAACCACAGAGGGAAGATGAGTAACCCTTCCCCACATGCTGAGAGAACATCTCTGCAGCGCTGGAGATAATTCAGGTTACCGTGTCAGGCAGGCCAGGATGTGAGATTGGTCCCCATTATTAAGACTATAAATGCTGTGAACCAGACAGCACGGCCAGAGGAGCTGGTAACTCAGCAGGACTAGTGAGGCAAGGGACTGGAACCCACTCAGCAGTGGATGTGAGGATCCATGGTGGGCCAGGAGCAGGTGGTAAAGGAAGGTGCACTTCTAGGAATGAAAGCACTGTGTGTCTCCAGGAGGCCACATGGACAGAGCAATCAGAGAAAGATGTGTGGCCACCAACTCTAAAAACAGCAGTAGCCCGCAGAGCCACTGAGAACTTCTGTTAGAGTAGCAGATCCTCACACTATGATTAACAGTGCCTAAAGAACACAGAAAATGTCCTGAACAAAGCATCATAGAGCAGCCTGACACAGAAAGTGATGCAGTATGGGGTACAAATATAAGAGACAGAAGAAACAGAGCTGAAGCTGGGCATGGTGGTACACTCCAGTAATCCCAGCACTCAGGAAGCTGAGGCAGGAGGATTGCATGAGTTTGAGGCCAGCCTGGACTACACGGTGAATTCAAGGCCAGTATGAACGATTGAGCGAGACCTTGTCTCATAAATTAAAAAATAATAATAAATAGAGGAAGACGACAACGAAGAAGAAACAGAGCTGTCTGCAAACCTGATAGTGTGATAAACTGAGTAAATTTGTATAGAGGTGGAAAAGGGGTGAAAAAAATTATATTCAAGTAAAGTCTTGTAGAAAGGGGAAGCTGTCTTTTCTGGGAACAATATTTTGATAAGTTCTTCAACTTGCAGCTGAGATTTCAGTGGAGGCCGGGGTGTGGGTGGAACAGCTCTGCTTAAGACATGCAAGAATCTTAGAATTTTACATGTTATAACAAAGATAGTAAAAGTAGCAGGCAGTAAAAGAATGGCAGTAAGAAGGCTGGTGTTGGGTTCTGTTCACTGTGAACCCCTTTCTCCATTACCCCCTTACATTTTTAGAAAGATACTAATGCCATGGGTGCTTAAGGACGAGTGGAGCGTTTACACTGGAAAGGTATGCACACATTTCTGTGTGGGAGGAAGAACAAAGGGGTGACCCCAGATTCTGATGGGGGAGGCCTGACCCAGGAAAGAGCATGCAGAGGGGGACATCACAGGTGAGGACTTTGGCTGGGCGGAGCCTCCATTGACTCCGGATTCTCAAGCTCTACCTTCGAGTTTTTCTAATGCTTCTCTATTGACACACATACACATTCTCGACAGCTATTGGCATTAGGTGGGCTATCATCCTGAGTCTAGCAGATGTTCATGCCCATTTCAAGTGGAGGCACAGCTAGGACCTGGCCTTCTCTGGTACTGCTCTGACAAACTGTCTCACCCAAGTCTCCGCTGGACAGATGGAGCAGCACTAGCGCTGTTTTTTTTTTTTTTTTGTACTGGGAATCGAACTCACACCCTTGGGCTTGCCAGGCAGGTGCTGTGATGCTGAGCCACATCCCCAGCCCAAGCACTAGAATCTTACAGCTCTTGGTTCTTGCATTAGACTGGCAGGCATCAGATCCCTGACTCTGTCAGAGCCATTTAATTCAGTCACGATTAGGGCCACAAGAAGCACAGAGAGAGACCTGGAAATGTTCCTTGAACCTGGGTGTGATGGCCCATGCCTTTAATCTCAGCACTCTGGGAGATTAAGGCAGAAGCATTACAAATTTGATCCCATTTGAAGCAGTTTAGTGAAACTTTATCTCAGATTTAGAAAGGGGAAGGGATGTGGCTCAGTGTAGAGGGCCTGAGTTCGATCCCTGTTACCACAGTCCACATTCATAAATAAATAGGGCTGAAGATGTAGCTTAGTGTGAAGGTGCTGGCTTCAATCAAACAAAAAACAACAATAACAACAACAAAAAGGAAAATCCCTTGAAAGAAATTTAGTCTTCAAAAGTGACATCGTCAAGTCAATAAAGGCAAAGGAGAGCCGTATCCGCTGATCTTGAGTGTCGTGGCTCTCTCTTCACGTGCTGCTCATAGAAATAATTTTTTTTTTTTTTTGGTACCGGGGATCAAACTCATGACCTTGCACTTGTCAAGCAGGCGCTTATGCCATTGAGCTAAGCCTCTTACCGAAACACTTCTTGAGAGCAGTATATAAATGAAAATCAGAAAGATAGGCCAAGGCCTAAGTCTCAGGTGTATCTCAGATTCATGGTCTGCCCCATTGTCTCCTGGCTCTCCCAAGGGCAAGATAGACCTCTTTAGAAATTCATGTTCATCCCAGGAAACATGTGAAGCCAAAACCACTGTGGTGATCTCTGCACTGTTAAAGTCCTTTGAGAGAACTAAAGTGGTGTTGGCCTGGGACCTGAGTTGATGGCCAGTGAATGGACAAGGCAGGTTAGCATCTTTTGTCTGATAAGATACAATAAATGAGGCCAGTGCTAATGATCAGAGAATTTGCCTGGGCTGTTGGAGACAGATAGTATGCCTACCTTTGAAATAGGTCTCCCTGAATCCAGGTTAAGCACCTGGCTTCGCACCTTACCAGACCTTGCGAGATGTCAAATTTCCATGGTAGGAGGAATGCTCATCTAGTGCTAACAGCTTGGGCATATGTGGGTGTCCCCCTAGCTGGTCCCAGGATAGGCTGGCAGGGGTCTTTTTTTCTATTGGGTGACTAGAGGAGGCCACATCAGTCTTCCAGATGGCCTCTGTCTGGTTCCCCTGCTGAGTGGAGGTAGAAGGTACAGAGAATGCCAAAAGATACCAAGGGTTAGACTGAGAAGCCACAGCTCTCCAGGGCCATAAAGCCCAAGACACTCAAATAAGAGTTTGTCATCTGTCCTCTCCCCAACTTCCCTGGAGTTCCTTGTCCATTTTCCTGGAGTGTTTCTGGCTGAGGAACTTCTGGAAGAGACTCTCTGAGTAACCTGTGCTTCCAGGCACATCCTCTCAGGCTGAAGTCCTGAGCCCAGCGCTGGAGTGGGTATGGGTGTGCATCTGGGAGGCTGTCCAGAAGCTCACAATGCCTCTGAGCATGGGGTTCACACAGTGGCTTATTTATATGCCAGCTGCCACATTGATGCTGAGTAGAAATGCTTGAGATTTGGGTGTGGCTTCTCAGAATCTTTCAGCAGCATGGTTTGAAATACAGTCAGGCTAACTCTCTGCAGCCTGCATGCTGCCACCCACACCCCAGCCTGGGTCCCTGCATCAGGGCTGGGCAGGGGACCTGGCAACCAGTGAAATGATCTTGGTCTGTCTGTGCTTCCTGCCTCCCACTCATCCAGTTGGCTACCCTCTCAGCGTCTCTGTACCTACCTGGATATCCAGAGGGGCAGTGATTCCCGATGCCTGGGTGGAAAAAAATGCTTGCAGGTGGGCCTGCCAGAGTGGATCCGCTGGGGTAAGGCTGGTGGTGACTTAGATTTCCTTGGCTTTGAGATGACCACTGGAATGTTCAGGTGAATGTTCCACTCCAGGCGAAGCTAAAAAAACCCAGCAGAGTGGCATCAGAGAGGATAAGAAGTTAGCCTTCTGCAGGCCTGGCTGTAGGTCCACTTCTGTGCTCAGAGCTGCACAGAGAAGGTATGGCCCAAGGCATTCCTCCAGTCAAAACCCCTGGGGCCCGCGTCTTTGGATCCTTCCTAGAAACTCCAGTTCTTATTTGATGAGCTAGTTCCTGTTTTCCCCAACTTTTATGAAGAACCTAGGCATTTGGCAAAGAAGAAAAAAAGAAAGAAAACTAAAGGAAGCCAGGTCAGTAGGAACCTGTGAGACATTTGCAGCGGTCATGGCAAGGAACCACTCCGCAGTGTCTGAAGGGCCAAACCCAACTCTGATGCTGGGAAAGTAGTTCATATAGCTCAGCAGTCCAGCACCTGCCTGGCAAGTATGAGGCCCTGGGTTTGATTCCCAGTAACCACCTCTCTTCCCCCAAAAGATTTGTTATATGGTCTCATTCTTTCTCAATCCCAACTAATTTAGCAAATCGGATCTGCAACAGCACATAATCATGCCTAATGCAGGGTACTATGTACTGAGTTTGGAGAAACCTGCATGGCTGGTGCTCTTCCTACAGCTTGATGCCAGCACTAGAATCTGTTATGGTTTGTGTATGGATGTCTCCCCAAAGCCTCATATGGACATGGCAGAGGCAGGCATTTCAGAGGCAGCTGAATCTACAGCTTGTGATTGGTTCATTGTCTAGTGCTGGGATTGGAGTGTGAGTGCTACACCACTCTAGGCAGGTGGCCTGCATACAATATAAGGGAGGAAAAGAGGCTTGCTTCTTCTTTTTGCTCTTGCTGCTTTTGCTGTCTTCTGTTACCACAAAGTGTTGCCCCTCTGCCACGCCACCCTGCTTTGGAGTCAGCTGATTGTATACTGAAATCTCTACAAACTGTAGCTAAATAAGCCTTTTCTTCCTTAAGTTTGGGTGAGGTGTTTTGTCTCAGCAACAAGAGAAAGTAACTAATACACGTCCTTTACCAGGTTGCCTCTCTACACTCAGGGTTCAGCTACTCAGTATAATACTCAGGGCCAGGCATGGTGGTGCATACCTGTAATCCCAGCTCTCAAAAGACTGTGGTAGGAGGATTGCTGTGAGTTTGAGGCCAGCATGGGCTATCTAGCAAGTTCAAAGCCAACCTAAACTACATAGTAAGACCCTGTCTCAAAACTCAAAACAAAACAAAACAGTATTCAGGAGAAAAACCTATCCAACTCCAGGGCATATTCTGGTAGCTCTGAGTCACTGCTGAAGGACTCTTTGAATCCCTCCAAATTCTGACACATCCCCTATGGAGCACCTCACCCCCTTGATGCTTCTCTGTCCCTGGGAGCTGGGGAAAAAGCAGAGGAAAGTGAGCTAGCCTCCTTTTCTGAGCCTTCCTGAGCCTCTTATCTACAGCTAAATGCTGTTATCTCACACACTTGTATTGAAGAATCTGCAAATGAAAAATCTAATAGGCATGGTCCAATTCTCACAAAGTACAAAGGACTCTTCTTGCCAATTAAAAGATGAGTGTGGATGTCAATTCAATACTTGCATAATAGAGAAAATTATTAATATTCCCAAGGGTATGAATTTTTATTTTCTGGGTTAATTTATATTTTTCCCTTTGTTGTAGAAAATCTGGAAAGCATGAAGAATAGCGATGAGCAAACTAAATATCAGAGAAGCTAAATCTGTAGATAGTTATAAATTGTTTAACAACAGGACATATTCTGAGAAGTGCATCATGAAGCAACTGTGTCATCATGCAAACATAGAGTGAATGTACTCATCAGCCTAAATGATGTGAGGTAGTCAGTGGCGAGGTTTCTTAATGCAATCACGAGATGGAAACAGGATGTATGATGCTGTTGGCTTAACATGGGACATTGCTTTGTGGTCAGCTTTTTAAACAGGAGGAATATACTCTGAAGTAATGACTAAAAGTATAGCATGGTACATGCATAAATCAGTAGTACAGTTATCATCATTAAGTATTTTATACTGTACTTTATATGACTGGCAACTCAGTAGTTTTGTTTACATCAGCCTTCTTGGGAAAATGCAAACAATGCCACATGCTGGGACATTGTGATAGCTATAAAGTCACTAGGGGTCAGGAATTTTTCAGCTCCATTCTAATGTTATGGGACTACTATCATATATTTTGTCCATTATTGATAGAAATACTGTTATGTGGCATGTGACTGTAAATCATAAAAAATTCATATGAACAAGAGATAGAAGAAAAAAAAAAAAAAAGAAAAGAGAGGTGTGTGAGTTCATGCTCCTCTCCTCCTCCACTGCCCCAGGACAGCACGACTGAGATGGGTGAGTTGACAAGAGGAGCAGCCCAGAGACCTGCAGGAACACCAGTGACACAATAGGACCCTAGATAAAATACACATAATGGACAGGTCAAACTACAGGTGTGGAAGTATTCCGTGCAACACTGAATCTAGACTGGGCAACTGGCCATGCTTGAAGAATCCAGAACTGATTCGGTAACTGGCCCCTCCCACTGCACCTCTGGATTAGCAACCAGCGTGGGGAGAATCCAGGACTCAGGAGCGAGCTCCTTTCTCTCAATTTTTTACTTTTTCCTCTTTCTCTGTCTCTGTCTCTGTCTCTGTCTCTGTCTCTGTCTGTCTGTCGTCTCTCTCTCTCATCCTCTCTTTTCTAAATAGCTAAAGAGAACTCCAGCCACAGAAAACTAATCCCAGCCAGGATGTAGCTCAGTGCTACAGCATCTGCCTGGAAAGTGCAAGGTCCTGAGTTCAATTCCCAGCACAAAAAACCTAAACTAAACTAATCCCATCCCTGAAACCCAGAGACCAAGTCCAGATAATCCCTCAAATACTTCTTCAGTCTTTCTTTTCTACTCTCTTCTCTAGTTTCCCAAATTTTGTATTCTTTGTCCTCCCATCTTGCTTCTACTTGCTTTCCAGTTATCTTTGTTTTATATACTACCCTGTCTAAATTTCCCCACCACAGAGTAAAACTACTCTACCAAAGGGAAACATTTTGCATACAAACTCCTAATTTATGATCAGTTCTGTTATATAACCATAGGCTTTGCTCCTATGATCTAAAGTACAAAATCAATAGTTACCACAGTTTTTAAATTATTCTTGATGCTATTATGCCAATTTTACTACTTAAGCTAGGATATCATAGTTGTAATCAGTCATTCTCCCTTTTGTAGCAATACTGGGAAGCTCTGGGGTAATACCTTCACCAAAACCCTACACCAAAGTACTGGGGACTGAGTCAAGTAGATACCAACACCCCACTCTTAATTATTGGCAAGGTAGGATCTTGCGACAGACATGAACCAAGAATCTCCTATACATAGAAGACATCCCTGAAGAACAGACTTTTCCTAGAGAGGCCTTGATACTAGTGATATAGCTGCCTACTACAAAAACTCACAACGATCATCACACAAAACAAAATTTAAAAAAATTAAATAAAAATATTTTGAAATAAAACATATCAAGATGAAGAAGCAAAATGCAATCTTAGACCTCTAACCCACACAGAACAAATCCAGGAGATAGAATAAATTGGAAAACACACACCTGAAATTTCTGAAATGATAGCAACTGAAGTAAAGAAACAAATCCATGAGGCTATAGAAGAAATCAAATCAGAAATAATCCCTTGGGGACTGGGGATTTAGCTCAGCAGCATAAGTATCTGCCTTGAAGTACACGGTCGTGAGTTCAATCCCTGGTAGCGACTGGGGATTTAGCTCAGCAGCATAAGCATCTGCCTTGCAATGCACGGTCGTGAGTTCAATCCCTGGTACTGATAATAAATAAATAAATAAATAAATAATCCCTTGAATAAAAAAAGAAATTTCAACATTTTATAAAAGAATTGCTGAGCAAATCTAGGTAGCTATACATTAAAAAATAGATGATAGGAAGAAGATATGAAAGAAACCAAATGCATGAAACAGATTCAAACAGGTATTCAGGAATTTAAAAATTCACTTGAAAGCTGGAAAAACTCCTTGAATGAAACTGAAGACAGACTTTCAGATCTTGAACACAAGATCATAACTAGTGATTATGAAAGATCTCTTGAACATAAAAAAAGATCAGGAAATAATTCAACAGCTGCAAGATAACACAAAGAAAAATTATATAAAAGTAATGTCAATAAAAAAGCAGGAGTCAACACAAATGACATTTTAAAAAACTGTCTGCAGAAGTAATAGCAGAAAATCTCCCAAACATGAGAAAAGAATCTGACATATAGATAATTGAGTCAGAGAACTCAATTAGCCACAACCAAAGAAATCTATACCCAGACATATAATAATCAAGATCCCAGAAATTCAGCACAAGAACAGAATATTAAAAGCTGTTAAAAAGAGAAACAGATGGGGCTGGGGATTTAGCTCAGCGGCATAAGTGCCTGCCTTGCAAGCAGGCTGTCGTGAGTTTGATCCCCGGTACCGATAAAAAGGAAAAAGACAAAAAAAAAAAAAAAAAAAAAAAAAAAAGAGAGAGAGAGAGAAACAGATCACCTATAAAGAAAGGCACAGCAGAATCACAGCAGACTTCTCAATGTAAACCAGAAAGTCAAAAAGAACTTGGAGTGAAGTTTTTCAAGCCCTGAAAGAAAATGACTTACAATCCATATTGATTTACCCTGTAAAACTATCTTTCAAAATTAATGGAGAACTAAGATACTTTCATGACAAAGAACAATTGAAAAAATTCATGGCCACCAAACCAACCCTACAAAGGATACTGAAAGATATTCTATACAGAGAGAGAAATGACCGCAACTCTAAGAAAAACAACAGAAAGAAACCAACAAGCAGGGCAAACAATTTAACAGAGGGGAAAAGCAAGGAACTATAACAGAAAAATAATGTGACAAAGATAAGCCAATGCACATGAGTTATAATCATCAATGTGAATAGCCTTAATTCATCAATCAAAAGAAACAGAGTGGCAGAATGGATCAAGAAACAAG